GGGTCCGGGTCCAAACACAGCGATGGGTCGAAGCCTCCTGCCCCTGCTGCTGCTGTCCTCACAGCTGGGCTTCCTGCAAGGTGAGCCCCTGGGGGGCAAGGGGAGGCGGCGGGGACTGAGGGGGGTCTGGGGGAGTGGGGCGTCCCTCTGACTCTCTACCTGCCTGCCTTGTCCTGACTGACACCCCACAGGTCAGGTTACCCCGGGGAGCTGTTATCTAACAGGGACATCTTATTTTTGTAGGGACACATTTCAGGGCCTTTCTGTTTGCAGCTTGGTTCTTCATAACTTCGTCTGCTTAAACACTCTTCAGGTCCTCCCTCTGTTGCCCTTGAAGATTTCAGCTATTGGGTTATCCTGGGGCATCGGGATGACCGCTCACTGCAGATTTAGTTGGAGGTCCGGACCCACGAGGCCACATTGCACCCCGAGGGAAAGAGAAGGTTTTCCACTCACCTGCTGAGACTTGGGGGAAAGCAGGACTTGTGCCCAAATGGTCTTCTGATGGCCTGAGGAGCAGGGAAGGGAGACTGGCTTGGGATTGACATGGTGGTTGGGAGAGGGCCAGGGGCGTTCCTGCCCCCAACAAGGGTCTGTGTGTTTTGAAACCCCTGCTATGTCACTGGCAGGTGTCCCCGGGCCCAGAGGTGAGGCAGAAGGGGTCAGACTGGAGAGCCGTTGCCAGTCACACATCATAAAATGGGGTCAGACACTTTATCAATGGGAACAAATGTGGGCTTCCAGACCACCGCGGACACTTAGACGGAATCGCAAGTTAGTCTTCAGGGGCTTCCCCACGTTCACACGTGCTGCTGACAGGAGCCGGGGCACAGCTTGCTGAGAGCCGTGTAGGTTCTTCGTCACCTTCCACGCAAACTTCTATAATCCAGTCGTTCCGCCTGTGCGCACGCCCGTGTGCGTCTCTGTGTGTGCGTGCGCGGGTGCTCACATAGTAAAAGATCATTTATACTTGACCCACACAGATAGACACACACGCTACCCAGTTCTCCGAGCACAGTCAGGACACTGTTAGTTCGTTTTGTGGTTATACCGTCACCACAAAAGACATGATTTCATGTTCAGTGTGAACCGTAACACTGAATTGATAATAGCATTCACAAAGGTCAGATGTTTGACCGTCTACAGAACACGTGGGCACAGCTTTTGTTGGATCCGAGGGCTGAGTGAAAAGTGGAATGATCGCTGGCATCACTGGCAACATCTGCTTGCAACCTTCTCCTTCAGCCAAGGGGGACCAGCCTAGGAAGGGGCTAGTTTCTTTGTGGGTGCGCGAAGACTGAAGACGCAGAATACAAAGGACGCCAGATGCGTTGAGAACATGCTCATGTGACCCAAACGGAAATTCATCCTCCTGACCCGTGTTCCCCCAGAAGCTGGATCTGAGGTCATTTGTCTGGACAGTGGTCCCAGGAGATGCCAGCAGGGGCATGAGCCAGTGAGACACGGAAAGGAACGAGCTAGTGAAGGAGGCGTCCTCGAGCTAGATGCACGGCGGGCACGTGGAGCCCAGTGCTGCCGGGACCTTCTGGAGGACAGTGTGGAGCGGGCCCCAAGCTGTCCCAACTCAAGGGGAGAGAGCTGGAGCATTTAGCCACCGACTCCCCACCTGCTCTGGGGAGAGGGACGCCTCCAGGGGCTTTGGCTCTGTAGGACCCCAGCTCGCCCCGCAGGCCCCAGTCAGGGTCACAGGTGTGTGCGGGAGCAGCCCGCAGCCTGTGCAGGTGAATCCGAGGCTGGGGGGCAGGGGGAGGCGCGCTGCAGGGACTCCACTGACTGGTGGCTTTCTCCCCACTTCTGTCTCGCCCATCTCTCGCCTCGGCCTCTTGTATGCTGTCCTTCCTCAAAGTCCGTCGTCCACACAGTGGCCAGAGCCTGCTTGCACAGCACAAACCGCTTCATGCCTCGCCCTCTTTTTAAACCTCCGATGGCCTCCTCTCTGGAGCAAAATCCCAGTTCTTAGGGTGGTGGAAACTGTCCTATCCCGTAAAAGTATAAGGCCAGCTACTGATGTAATTTGGATTTTCTGAGTAGACATATTCAAAAAGTCAGAAACATGTAGAAGTAATTTTAATAAGCTGTTTATTTACCTTGGTAGATCTAAAATAGTATCAGCCGCGCACACACCATCAATGTTGCGCTGACTTAGCAGCAAGTACAAGTGTACTCGTACCACGTGCTTGAAATCCACTGACGGCCCATCTATTTGGATTTGGGGGGTTTCTGGGCTTTTTGTGCTTTTGTGTTTGTGTGTGTTTTATTTATTTTTTCTCATTTCATTAAAGCACGGGGACAGGACCGCCGAGCACAGAGATCCGCACTGGGGTTGTGAGGAGTGACTGAGGCTATACTGCTTAGGGAGTGGGGGTTAGGGACAGCTTCCGTCTCCCAGGAATCTGAGCATGTGACAAGCAAGGTCTCCAGGACCTCGGAGGGCTAGCTATCGTTAAGACAGGGCTGCCTTTACTATTGTCTGTAAAACACTACTCACGGACCCCCTCAAATGGGGGATCAGCGGGCCTAGTGTTTGCAAGGTGATTGCTAACCTGCAGATGGGGGGCTGTTAGCGGTTAGCAGAGGGGGTCACGCTGAGGAGAGCAAAGCTGTCGTGGTCACTCGGTGAAGGAAGTCCCTGAGGGAGCGGCAGGGCCGTTACCCTCCGTGAGCCTCGGCAGCTCTGCCTGGAGGGAGACTCGAGCTACAGCCCGGTCCGGTCCCTGCTCTGCTCTCCCATCACCTCCCCCCTGGACAGCTTGGGCCCTTCAGTCTTTAAGGTTGCTGCGGGCAGAAGGGCCCATGTCCTGTAACTTCCTTGCTGAGGCAGGGCGCAGAGAGGTCCCTGCCCGGGGCCCCGCCGGTCCGCTGAGGATTTACTAGGAGCCTCGAAAGGCCGAGCCGCTGTGTGTGCAGGTGCTAACGGACGGGAGTCTCCTCGGGTGCCGAGGGTCACCTGTGGGCCTGACCTGGTGGCCGTGAAGGCGTTTTGGCCCCAGGCACAGAGACGTTGGAAAAACCAGCAAAACAGGATGAAAAGAGCAAGAAGAAAGAGAAGCCCAAGGCAGAGTCCTTTGACGGTTGACCGAAGTCCTGGGGCCCCGCGTTTGGACCAGTCACGGGGCCCGGGCTCAGCAGTCCCGGAGGGCAGGGCCCCGAGTGGCCGGCGCAGCCCTGAGAAGAGACCCTCGGGTCTGGCCCCGGGACCTCTTCCAGCTCACTTCCTAGCTCTGCCGGCCGTCCCCTGTCCTCGGCCCCTGCTGTCGGGTCCCTCCCTGGGACGGGCCACCGCGGTTTTCTCTGTCTCCGCACTTGCCCCCGTGTGTCTTCCTGGAACCAGTCCCCAACTCCTCCCAGGTGTTTAAAGAGTCAGCTTCTCTTCTTCCTTTAACTTGCTCAAGTGTGAGCTTACGTGACTCCTGAGAGCGCTTCTCCGACGCCCCATGTGACGGGACAGCCCTAGGGGCTCCCAGCTCACCAGGTCCCTGAGCTCAGCCACGCTCTTCCTCTGTCCCAGCACCTGTGACCCTCCTCCTCGCTTGTCCCCGGTCAGCCACTTCCCCCGTGTACTGGCTGTCTTAAGGAGATAAGTGACATGCCTGTTTCATTCCTCCCTCCTGTCACTCTGTCCCCACCACCTGGGAGAGCGCCTCGCACACAGCAGGTGCTCAGTATTTGCGGAGGGAAGGCAGGGGCCAGGTGCTGCCCTCCTAAGGCTCGAGAAGAGAGAGGAGCTGGGGCTCTGGGCCAGACATCTGCGGGACACCTGCGGCTGCCTCCCCCCCTTCCTTCTTCTCCTTGCCTCAGTCCTCCCTGGCTTGCCTCCTTCCCTCCCTCTCATCTCCTCCTACCCTCCTCCATCCCTGGGACTCGAGGGGGACCCTGTCGTACTCGGGCAGGCGTGTCTCCCCCAGGTATGAGCCAAGCACCCCGAAATCCTCTGATTTCAGCTACTCATCTGGCCTGGACCCTGGCCACTGTCCAGGCTCTCCGTGGCCCAGAGGGTGTGCCCCCTCCTGACCTGGTGGAAGGCAGGGCCTGGAGAACCTTATTAAGCCCATTTTCACTTTCCAGCTCTACAGTGTTTCCAGTGTCAACGAATCAATGCCAGTGGGGTTTGCGAGACTGGGGAAAGTGTCTGCCAGGCTAAAGGCAACCAGCAGTGCTTTCTGAGGAAGGTCTATAAAGGTAGGTGGGCCTAAGAAGTCTCCTGGGTGACCTCTGCGTGAAGTTAGGTGCTAGCAGTGGGCGTTCAGGGTTGGGAGTGGGACCCCCATGGGACCACAGGGAGCCAGGGCCCCCAGGACAAGGCAAGGCGACTCTAGGACCCAGGGAACTGTGACCTTAGGAACGCTGGGAGTAGCACCAATATAGGCAGGGGTTGATTTTATTTTTTTCAACTAAATTTGTGAATCTGTGTCATCTGGTTCTGGTACTGGGCTGCCAGTGGCTCCTAACTCGGCCAGTACCTGTAAGAGAAGAAGACAGCATCCTCTGTTAGCTCCTGGGGTGACAGGAAGGACTGCTAAAATCCCACTGAGTAGAACTTGAGTGTGGTAGAGTTTTGGGAAACTGGAGGTGGAGGTAGGGGGAGAGCAGTGGGGAGGGTGATTAGGGCAATTTCTATTCACCCCTTCCTGCCCTCTCCTGTGTGGGACACAGGACACCCCTTCCTGCCCTCTCCTGAATCCTAGGACACAGAGCCCCCAGAGCTATCCTACAGGAGCCCACTAGGGGGCTCTATCTCAAATATCTCAATCCTGGGAGGCAGATACTCCTCCCTGCAAGAGAACAGGAGTCCTTGATGGAAAATTCCATTTTCTCCTGGTTGCTTGATTAATTTGTTGATGCAATGACCCACTGATCCTTTCAGCAATATTGACTGAGCACTGCATACCAAGATGCGCTGGACCCCACAGCCGTGGGTCTGCAACCCAGGCTCTGGGGTCTCACTTACCCTCTTCTCTGTCTCTCTGTAGATGACACCCTTTCATATGGATATCAAGGTTGTAGCAGTGTGTGTTCCCCTATGACAATCTTTTATATGGATGTTGCTTTGGAGGATAAATGTTGCAATGACTCACCTTTCTGCAACAAGTTCTAAAGATGGAGCCCAGCTTTGCCCTGACCTGATGGATGAAGCTGATTCAACACACTTTTCAACTCTCAGGATCCTTACAACTATTGTGCACTGACTATGGGCTCCCTATAAGGAGAAGTCATAAGCTAGTTCTGTGCCAGGTCCAATCACCCTTTTCTCTCCCTCATTGTGAGATGCTTCCGGGAGAGTCTTTAAAATCCAACTGGAGTGAGGAGTGTGGGCATGGGTAGGTCCAAGCATGCCTTCTTCCTTTCGAGGCCCTAATCACGAGTCATGCTTATTTTCATTTTAAAAAGGCAGGGTCTGTGGGAGACTGTGGGTTCTGTCATTCTGGGTGTTGTGGAGGCAGCTAGCTGAAGGAAGAAGGAGAGTCCTCAGAAGCTGAAGAGCATAGGGAATGAGTTGGCTGTAAATGATGTATGAGTTGGAGGGAGCAAGCTGTAACAAAAATCTCTGAAATGTTGATGTCTTAAAATAATAATGAAAAATAATAAAAAAAAGATTGCTAACCCACCTCACAGTTCATCGAGGTGGTGGTGATTATTTAGAGATCCCAGCTTCTTTCAACTTTTTATGCCGCCATCTTTAATGGTCTCCAAGCTCTCTACAGAAGGGGAAGTAAGCATGGAGAGGCACACGGGAGTTTCTATGGCTGGAACTCAAAGTGTTGTGCATAATTTCTGCCTGCATTCCACTATTACTTGACCACAAACAATTTGTAAAAAATGTAATCTTGTAATCTGGTGTGCCTGAGAGAAAATTCAGAAGCTCTGATGAACACAGTGGATGAAGCCTGGTTCCTTTCCCCACTCTGTCCCCCACTGTTCGGGCTCCTCAAACTGCACCCACATTTGACCTCTGTTACAGAGGAAAGAATGACCCAGCAAATGGGACTACAGAGCACCATACACTGATTAAAAGTAAAACACGTATGATTTGACCAGATATTCCACTCCCACCCTTTCAGCATCCCCGACATGGAGGCTGGAGCCCAGCATACCTCACGAGCCTATCCGCGGGGTCTCAGAGCTCTCTTGCTGTTGGCCTCCCTGGGAACCCCTGTATTCCTGTCAGTGGTGTCATGTCCTCATTCTCCCCCAGCAGTCAGCCCTCAGGAGATCACTGGTCCCCCTGATTCTCCCTCACATGCTGTCCTGAGGGTGACCAGCAGCACTGGTGATAGTCTGTCCACACCAGAGCCCTGCCCTGTCCACTCATCACTCTGTGGCAACAACATCCCCACTTCTGTTCTGGCTCCTCTCTTCACAGGACTCTGTAGGGAGGAACAGCTTTGGGTCTCCTGAGTTTCTAGACTGGGAAAAGGCAGAGGAAGAAGAAGACATCCAAACAGCGTGTTGACACTAGCCTTATCCACACCTACACGTGGCAGTCACCACGGATGAGTAATCACAAATAGTGCTGCTACAGCATCTAAACAAAGAAGTATTTTGTACAGAAGTGACAGAAGAAAAGGGGTTTATACGTTCAGGGGTGGCAAAATATGGAAAGGTAACTCTATGAAGACAGGAATGGAAAGGCTACTTAGTACAGATTGTTATGGAGATGCCTCAGGGCTGGTGTCTAGAGCTGCCTCCAGTGACCAAGCTTCCACCTGCCCTCCCTGGTGGAGAGAGGGCGGCCAGAGAGTTTTCCTTGTATCTGCATCTTAGAAATGACTTTCAACTCAAAATGATCCTGTGTCAAATGACATATTTTTGGGGTGGCGGGCTCTGAACCCTTGCAACTCAAAACCATCCATGAGGGCTGGACAGAGTCAGAAATCTCACTGCTATCTCTGAAGCTTCCTTCATCATTAGGACCCCGGCATGTCCCCCAAACCGTCTTCTCCCAGGGCTCCTCTGTGCACCTGCAAATTATTCATGAGTTTTGATTCAGGGGATGCAGCTGAAGGCATTAGCCATGCGCCCCAGTTTTGGTCAGGCTCAGCAGAGGACACCGGACACAGAGGTTGGTTCAGTTACCTGGACATCCTTCAGTAGAAGCTGCACACGCTCTGATACTAAGCGCATGCATTCTGGTGTGTCCTGGCCCTTCTCGGGAGTCAGTTTTCTCATCCACTGGGAGATTCATTTACTCGTGAAGTTTTCCTCCTCAGAAAAAGATGGGTTGTGACTTGGGTTATCACCTAGTAATGGTCTCAGGGTGGGTAGAGCTGCCTCTGTATTCATGGGTCACACCCAAACTCACAACCTGCCACGGGCTAGGTGGGAGAGTGGGTGTAGACACCCCTCCTCAAGGGCCAAACCATGTGACCTTTACAAGACTCTCCCCTCTGGTCTAAGTTGACGGTAAGAGTGGTGGACGCTTGACCAACTGGGCCTATGAATTCTCTTGCCTGGGAATTTCTTATTAGATGTGAGAAAATCATTATCTCATATGGGTAATGACTTCACCAAAGCAAAGGGCCATTGATTCCAAACGTAGCCGTTAGCAACCCTCAACAAACTAATAGAAATGGAGAAGAGTTTTGGGTGTTAACTATGCCTTTATGTTCAGGGTTTCTGCTTCCTCAAAAAACCAAGAAGGACAAGGGAAGAAAAACCAGAAAATGGGCATGTGGCCACCCCTGTCCTGTTTGCGCTGCCTGACTCACACCTGGGACACCTGGAAGGCTTGTCCAGAGGCCTGTCCTGAGCCTCACTTAGGAGCCTTCAGGAGGTGTCCATATCTGCATGTCCCTTGTGGGTCAGCATCCCAGGCTCCTCCAGCTTCGGCTGGGGGCATTCTGTTCTGCTGCATCCTGAGGGCAGCAGGGGACCTTATCCCTGCCCCTGGCCATCCTCACACATGGGCTCAGTGACCTGAGGATTCAGGTGGGGAAGGTGGAGGAGTCTTGGCTCTTACACAGTCACAACATGGTGAGCAAGGCTGCCCCCTGCAGGCAGCCTCTGCGGGGAGGACACAAGTTCAGCCTGGCCCCCTGTCCTCCTATGGTGGGCGCAGGGCAGGTATCTGGACCCATCGGGATTCAGGGGCTTCTCCTCATTCTGGGGGGCAGAGTGGAGCTGGTGACCCAGAAGGCACAGTTCAGTCTACTAGATGATTTCGGGGTGCTTGGCACATACCTGGGGGAGACACGCCTGCCCGAGTACGACAGGGTCCCCCTCGAGTCCCAGGGATGGAGGAGGGTAGGAGGAGATGAGAGGGAGGGAAGGAGGCAAGCCAGGGAGGACTGAGGCAAGGAGAAGAAGGAAGGGGGGGAGGCAGCCGCAGGTGTCCCGCAGATGTCTGGCCCAGAGCCCCAGCTCCTCTCTCTTCTCGAGCCTTAGGAGGGCAGCACCTGGCCCCTGCCTTCCCTCCGCAAATACTGAGCACCTGCTGTGTGCGAGGCGCTCTCCCAGGTGGTGGGGACAGAGTGACAGGAGGGAGGAATGAAACAGGCATGTCACTTATTTCCTTAAGACAGCCAGTACACGGGGGAAGTGGCTGACCGGGGACAAGCGAGGAGGAGGGTCACAGGTGCTGGGACAGAGGAAGAGCGTGGCTGAGCTCAGGGACCTGGTGAGCTGGGAGCCCCTAGGGCTGTCCCGTCACATGGGGCGTCGGAGAAGCGCTCTCAGGAGTCACGTAAGCTCACACTTGAGCAAGTTAAAGGAAGAAGAGAAGCTGACTCTTTAAACACCTGGGAGGAGTTGGGGACTGGTTCCAGGAAGACACACGGGGGCAAGTGCGGAGACAGAGAAAACCGCGGTGGCCCGTCCCAGGGAGGGACCCGACAGCAGGGGCCGAGGACAGGGGACGGCCGGCAGAGCTAGGAAGTGAGCTGGAAGAGGTCCCGGGGCCAGACCCGAGGGTCCCTTCTCAGGGCTGCGCCGGCCACTCGGGGCCCTGCCCTCCGGGACTGCTGAGCCCGGGCCCCGTGACTGGTCCAAACGCGGGGCCCCAGGACTTCGGTCAACCGTCAAAGGACTCTGCCTTGGGCTTCTCTTTCTTCTTGCTCTTTTCATCCTGTTTTGCTGGTTTTTCCAACGTCTCTGTGCCTGGGGCCAAAACGCCTTCACGGCCACCAGGTCAGGCCCACAGGTGACCCTCGGCACCCGAGGAGACTCCCGTCCGTTAGCACCTGCACACACAGCGGCTCGGCCTTTCGAGGCTCCTAGTAAATCCTCAGCGGACCGGCGGGGCCCCGGGCAGGGACCTCTCTGCGCCCTGCCTCAGCAAGGAAGTTACAGGACATGGGCCCTTCTGCCCGCAGCAACCTTAAAGACTGAAGGGCCCAAGCTGT